GGGTTGGGCTTAGGGTCTAGGGTTTAGGGCTTAGGCTGTAGGGTTTAGGGCTTAGGGTTGAGGGTTTAAGGATTCCAACAGGGTCATTACGAGGACCCTCCTTGTATCCTAAAATAGTGGTAGATGGTACCAAATATATGTATCTAGGTTTTACAGAGGCTAGATGGAGTGTCTAGGTAAGAAGGATACTTCACTATGGAGTTTCGAAAATTGTACTTGTTTGGGTTCAGGGAGCTTGCGTGAATTAGGCGGGAATACTCGCTGTCTCGTCGTTTATTTAAACATAACTTGTGAGCTACCATGGGACCCCCTAAACCCCAAACCCTAAACCTGAACCCTAAACCCTAAACCGCGTTTAAACAATGCCACGGTGAGTTTTCTCAGGTAAGCCAAGTCGCATTACCGAGTGTTTTGGGTTTAGGGGACTGGTGCTTAGAAAAATCAACCCGTAAACTCGAACAATGATTATTCATCCACAGACCATCTTAACGATAAACATACTTGAAACGAACTAATGCCCCAAACCCCAAACCCCAAACCTCTGACAGTAACTGCATCTGGGTAGCAGCTGCGATGTCCAGTCTACCACTTGCTCGTGGCGCTGCACCTTGGCATAAAATCCCCAAAGGTCCGGAGTCTGTAGACCTATAGAAAGTCTAGCCTGTTGGTAATCAAAGGGAGTTCCTATAGACATCACCTTAGAGGTACTTGGACCCTGCGGAAATCGGAGGTTCAGAAAAATGCCTTTCCCTTGATCGGGATCCTTAGATGGGGATTTCACTACCTGCTTGAATCTACGTTAGGGCCCCTGATTTTTTCTGGAAACTCCGACATGCACCAAGTCATAAGCTGCAAAAGCCATATATTAAGGCCTGCCTCTGTTTCAGGGATGGTACAGCCCCAAGAAAACCCACGAGGCTCCTGGGTTTCTGGGAATACCAGGACCGCCAAGTACCCTCTGATAGAGTCCTTCTCATTGGTCTAGGGGTTAGGGTTTAGGGTTTAGGGTTTAGGGTTTAGGGTTTAGGGTTTAGGGTTTATTTATACAAACTGCTTGCTAGAGGGCAGTGTCTGCGGGTCTCGGAAGCACGGTGGGCTTTGCTGGGCAGGGCTCACGACGCAACCCACTCTAAACCCCAAACCCTCAACCCGAGACGCTGAACCCTAAATTAAACCCTAACCCTCAACCCCAAATCGGCTCTTACCGAGGCCCCGGCGAAGTCATCAAACCAGGCGCTCAAAGCTTTCAAGGACGGGTATGCCTTCAAAGCAGCTGTGAGTCTTCGGTTTAGGCTTTAGGGCTCTGGGGGGGTCAATATAGATAATACAGGGGCCTTGATATTTCAATCAGGGTTTTGGGGTACATTCTTGTATAACGACTACCCGCATTTTCAGGGCTGCATCGTGGTGGAGTTCAAGCTGAAGACACGTTGAAGGCCTCTACCTAAAGAACAAGGACATGAGCTCTCCAAACCCTAAACCCCAAACCCCCTTTATTCCCTCAGCCCTTACCCCCCAAACCCTAAACTCTAAACCCTAAACCCTAAACTCTAAACTGAAACCCTAAGCCCTAAACCCTACGAACTAAGCTCTAATCCCTCAAACACTGAGGCGGGACCTGAGAGAATGTAACTCTCCGAGGATGCCCCGCCACTCCAAAGGTTTAGGGTTTAGGGTTTAGGGTTTAGAGTTTAGGGGTTTGGGTTTAGGGTTTAGGGTTTAGGGTCCACCGAGGCTCCACATACTATGGGGACCTTCATGATTTTTAATAGGGTTTTGGGGTAGAGTATACTATGCTTATAATATGGAAGACCCCCACATGGTACTGGTAATACTTAAGCCCCAAGTTACAGCGCGTGGAGGCTCCAGGAAGGTAATGCTCGAAGTAAATTGCAGGCCATGGTCCCTTAGAGCCCTTAGAGACAAGAATCCCCTGGAAGCCCTCAAACTAAACTAACATAGGGGCCTTAATAATTAGACCAGGGTTTGGGGGCCCATTATGCTAGAATTAGAAGAAGGAACCCCCAAAAGAGTATTGGCAATTATTTGGGCCCATACATCACTCAAGCCCAGAAGTCAATGCGTTTGGACTTGGGTGTTTTTTTCACCCCACACGAGACATAGATGCCTTAAAGCAGTTCCGCACGAAAGAATGATACCTTTAGGGTTTAGGGTTTAGGGCCTTAAAACAGTTCAAGGTCTGGCCTTTTCTGCCCATCCGGCGTTCACCTTGTTGCTCTGGAGGTCTGCACTCAGTGCCTCACGGCTTAGGGTTTGGGGTTTAGGGTTTAGGGTTTAGAAGTTTAGAGTTCAGGGTTTAGGGTTTGAGGTGGTTCGGGTGTTGCCAGCATCGGTGGAGATTTCATAAAGGCCGATTGGGGTTTACTTGGTTTGGCTTGATATCGGAGTTGAAACAGTGGCCTCAGCAGCCTGCTATGTAGTGCAAGTGGTCCATGTATCTGCCTAGTATGCACTTTGGCCTTCATTGGTGGTGCTCTCTCTCTCTCTCTCTCATATATATATATATATATATATGTATATATATATATATATGTGCGTAAGGCCAACGTATATACGGCTTGCTTGTATAATAGGCGCGTGGAGCCCTAACCCCTAAACCAAAAACCTTAAACCCTGAACCCGAAGGCAACTGGCTCCCAGGCATTTCATAAGACATTATCGGCTTCTGTGGCGAATTTGAGAGGGCTTTGCTTACCGGCAGACGGGTATCCCCAAACCGGGAACCAAATATACCCCCAGCCAGGCGCCTTATATACCATCAATATAACGCCTTCAATAATTAGAATAGGGTCTTGGGGCCCATTATACATATAGTTATAATTAATAAGGCACGCCCCCACAAAAAAAATAGTATAGGTAATTGTTTAGGCCTCTAGATTGCGATCACTGAGATTCACATGGTTCTGTGGACGCAGCCTCCATCCTCTCTGTGACGTTCAGGGCGCCACTGATACCTTGAGGCCCAAGCCCTAAACAGCAACGTCCTCAACCGACTGTCAAGTTGCAACATGGGGGAAGAGGGCTTTGGGGTACGTTCTACTATATAATTACAATAAGGAACCTTGAGGATCTGGTTTAGGGTTTAGGGTTTAGGGTTGGTAATTATTGCAACTCCAAGAAAGTAGTAGCACCTTTTGAACGACGGAATCCTTCTTCCCAAAATCCCGAAAATCAAGACATCCCAATGTCAAGTCTTCGACTTCCGGGTTTAGGGTTTAGGGATTGGCTATCGGGGCCTTAAAGGGCTCATTTAGAGGGTTGAGGTTTCAAGGGGGCTTCCTGAGGCTAATTAATTTAACAGGGCTGAGGGCTGCGGATTTCGCTTGGGCAAGGGAGGATGACGTGTGCTGCTATGTCGTTAATGTGAACTACCTCAGAACTTCCCTCACAGTGGGCCCTTGCGGTTCACAGTTGGGTTTCGTGGCATATCACTCTGCTGTTGGAGACTCGAGTTTATGGAGCCATACATAAACGAAAGCAAATTCTGCAAAGCGATCAGGACCGGAGAGAACAACCCGGCTTCAAGATCTCAACGCAACCACACCCCATGCAACACTACTATGCAAAGCTGAACCTTGATCTCCGAGCATCAACCAACAATTGAAAACCCATAAGCGGTGGTGCCTTCTGTCACCTGCTTAAACAGCCCCCTTGCAGCATAATCAACGCCATAGTGTTTAGGGTTCAGAGTCCTAGGGTTGACGTTTAAACCAAAAAACATCCCGACGATATCCTGCGGATCCCATAACATCCCAAAACTAAACCCTAATCCTCAAGCCGTATAAACTCTAGGCCCTAAACCCTCTAAACTCAAGGCCCTGATCCCTAAACCCTTTAAACTCTAAAAACCTAAACCCTAAACACTACAAACTCTAATCCCGAAACCCTTTATATAACTTCATCAACTCTAAAGCACTAAAACCCTAAACACTAACAGCCCTAAAGCACTTGGGAGGGTTCCGAAAATAGGGGACCCTAATATAGTACCCTACATAATGGGATCCTTATTATAAGGACCCCCCAAATCAAGTATCCCTTATTTTCGGAAAGTCCCACTTCGGTCAGCTCCAAGTGGCCCAGCTCCAACTCGAGCATGGACCCGCGGATCTGATCCAAGAGGCCGTTGACGCGGTCGGCCTCTTAGGGCGCTTTTGGGTTTGGGGTTTAGGGTTTAGGGTTTAGGGTTTAGGGCGCTTTTGGGTTTAGGGTTTTGGGCTGAGGGCTTAGGGGTTTAGGGATTTAGGGTTTTGGGCTGAGGGCTTTGGGGTTCAGGGATTAAGGGTTTAGGGTTGAGGGCTTTAGGGGTTTAGGGCTTTTTGGTTTAGGGTTTGTTAGGTTTAGGGTTTTAGGATTTTTGGCTTTAGGGTTTCGGGTTTAGGGTTATTGGATTAGGATTACTGGGTCTAGGGTTTTAGGAATTCTTGGCTTAGGGTTTCGGGTATAGGGTTGTTGGATTTGGGGTTTTTCGGGGCTTTTGGTTTAGGGTTTCGGGTATTAGGGCTTTTTGGTTTCGGGTTCAGGGCTTCAGGTTGAAGGCTAAGGGCTTAGGCTTAGCTGCGGATGTAGGATTTCTTGTGGTGGCTGTTAAGACGCACGGTGGCTTGGGGCGTGGGGATGTCTTCGGGTCTAGTTTCCAGAAGATCTACTATGGAGCCCTTCATGGCCGTTTAGGGTGTGACGGAGGGTATTCGGACCATAGTCCAGGCTTTGGCAGATTGAGCTCACTACTTCCAGGGATCACTGTTTCATGGCGCGCAGAGGCTTTCTGATTCTGGTGTTTCCAGGTCAAACCTCTCAAAGAGCTCTGCAGTGTAAACCTTGAACGCCACACCCTAAACCCTAAACCCTAACCCCTAAACCCTAAACCCTAAACCGTCCAGACCCAAAAGCGCCAGAATGGTGAGGGGAGCAGGTTCCTCAGGTCCTGTGGCCAATACAGCGCAGGACAGGAGCCGCACATCGTACTGTAGGGCCCTTAATAATGAGAAGAAGATTTTGGGCTAGTACAGTTATAATACGGAACCCTAAGGAATAATATTGGTAATTATTTGGGGGTTTCCGAAAATAGGGGACCCTAATATAGCAGCCTAAATAATAGGATCCCTATTATAAGGACCCCAAAATAAGGTACCCTAATTTTCTGAAACTCCCATTTGGGTTTCTACACTATTTACAAACAACTGTGGCATAGTTTCTCCACTAGTCAATTCAGGAGGTTCCAAGGGCTTGTGTGTAGGAGCTTTCTGGCACCCCAAGTGCCGCGGACATGCACACCGAAGTTGGCACAGAAAGAGCCGACTCTGTGCGCTCAGGAAATACCGACTATTGAGCCAGGGTTTAGGGTTTAGGGTTTAGGGTTTAGGTCTTTCTGTCTACCTTAATAAGTTCCCGTTCTCCACGCATTTAGGGCTTGGGCTGAGGTTGACATATTGCCATCCCAGTTGTGCCCTAAACCCTAAATCCTACCCTCAACCCTCAGCGCTGAACCGACACATCCCCAGACCCCAACACCCTAAACTCTTCGCCCTAAACCCCTAGGCGCAAAACACTTCACCCAAACACCCTCCCTGAAGCTCCACACCACGAAGCCCGACAAGCCTAAAGAGCCTTTAACTACAATCTTTAGGCTTTAGGGTTTAGGGGTTAGGGTTGGTTTAGGGTTTAGTGTTTAGCACGTTCGCCGGAAACCCGGTGGGGGGAGTCTGAGACAAGTAAGGGGCCTTACTAAAGACACACAAAATTGGGAAACTCACAAAACTCCCATCGAAAGCCCACGACTTTTCAGAAACCACTCCTGTCACCTGCAGGAGGTGGGCTACAAGCAATGGCTTGCCTCCTGCAGGGAGACCATGACGAAGGGAGTGTAGTCTTCTTCCTTCAGGCGACCTGACAGAAGCTGGGGGGGGCTCTGAAGCTTGGGTTTCGGGTTCTGGCTGTAGGGTTGAGAATGAAGGGTGGTGATGAACATGGCTCACTGCCATATATGGGGGTTTCCGAAAATAGGGGACCCTAATATAGTACCCTAAATAATAGGATTCCTATTATAAGGGCCCCAAAATAAGGTACCCTAATTTTATGAAACTCCCATATGTGTATATGTAAATAATGCTAAAGGGCGCGGTATCTCCCTTCGCTAGCATCACTCTGAAACTGTCGGCTCGCGCGACAGCTGCGGCCCTAAGGGAAAACATCTTGGAGCTGCATCAAGCGGAGGCTTTGGGGTTTAGCGTTTAGGGTTCAGGGTTTTGGGTTTAGGATTGCACAAGGGCTTTGTGAGGGCGTTGCAAAACGGAAGCCAGGGTTAGGGCTTCGAGCTGTATAAGGGCATTGTTTTACAGGAATTACACTTGGCACAGCGTATCCTGAACATCCAAGCCCTAGAATCCACATCGAATAAAGCCGTGAAAAATCAGCTGAACCCTAAACCCTAAACCCCTAGACACTACACCCTAAACCCTAAACCCCCAACCTTGAAGCCTACACCCTTCAGCCCTACCACCCTGAAGCCCCAAAAGCTTCTGCACTGCTGAAACCCACTCACTCAGGCCCTATGCCCTAAACCTCGAGAATGACAAAACCCCAACATAATGTAAGGGCCTTAATAATTAGAATGGGGGTTTGGGGGTATCTTCTACTATACTTATTATAATAAGGAACCCCCCAAAAGAATAATATAGTCAATTGTTCAGGCCCCGATATTACCAACCCGACAACCCGGCTTCAAGAGACAGGGCCTCGGATGTCAATCATGTCGAGGTTCGTTGGGAGCCTCCACTTCTTGTTGGCAGTATGATAAGGGTTTATAGGGTTTCAGGCAATATAGCCCTTTTCCCTAAACCCTAAACCCTAAACCCAAAGCCAGGGTCTAAGGGTTTAGACTGTGCGGTTCAGGTTTTTTTTCTGCTTTTTGGGCAATTTTTGCTTTAGGAGGGTTGGTTGTCAGTGCTTTTTGGGCCGGGAGGTCGAATGTTGCGGGCGTGGGGCCCGTGGGTGAAAGATTAGGGTTTAGGGTTTAGGGTTAGGGTTTAGGGTTGAGGGCCGGTTTACGGTTTAGGGCCGGTTTAGGGTTTAGGCGTTAGGGTTGAAACATTCACTGCTCTGGGTTCAGGGTTCCACCTGCCAGGTTACGACTGGCTAGGAAAAGTAGTGTGCAAGCCGCTCTCACCCTTCCAACATGCTGCAACCACTACCCACCGGGATTTAAGTACCCGCAGCTCGTATGAAACCAAACTAAACTCAAACCTGTGGCCCCAAATCCTGCACACCAAACCCCAAAACCCCAAACTCGACATCCTAAACTGGGTTCTTGTTCAGGGACCTATGGCAAATATCAGGTTGCTTTGTTATGGTAACTTAAACTACGTCCCTTAACAAGCACCCAGTAAACCCTACTCCTAAACCCCAAATCCTACACCCTCTGCGCTACAGTCGAGACAAGAAGCTTCGTGAGGTAGTTCGTGATGATCGGCTGGGCCAGGGAGATGTCGCCGGAGCCGCCACCGCCACCTCCGCCGGTGATCTCCTCGCGTGGACAGGGGTCTGTACGGTATGTACGTAGACATACATATAGAGAGAGAGAGAGAAAGAGAGAGCTTTATAGGAATTTATATCTATATATATATATATATGTTTAGGGATAACGGTGTTGAAAATACAGCCTTAATTGTCAGAAGGGGGTTGCGCGGTTTTTTGGTGTAGAGCGATAGAAAGACTGTGACAGAATAAGGGAATACTAGCAGCTACTAGCACTGAGCTTGCAAAACCTAAAGCAGTACTCACTCGCCCGTAGACACCTCGAAAGACAAGAGCTTGGGGGATGATTCGGTCTCTCAGTTTAGGGTTTAGGGTTTAGGGTTTAGGGTTTAGGGTTTAGGGCTTCAGAGATGAATCCTTAGTATCTCAACTGCATGTGAATATTAACAGATACCGAGCAAGTGGTATGTGTCGCACTCATAACACTTTACATGAACAGGAAGATGATGATAATGATGATGACAACGGCGGTGACCCGAGATGATGATAATGATGATGACAACGGCGGTGACACTGCTGACACGAGTGTGGCGACAGCGAATGGCCATGCCCGGTGTCCTGGATCGTCTTGAAGATGCTGATGCCCTGATTCGTGAGGAAGCCAATCTCAGCGTTGGGGTGCCTCGGCTAGATAAAGTTATAAAACCCGAGTCCCGGTTCTCCAGACAGTTGGCCTAAACCCGCCCGGAGGGTTTAGGGTTTAGGGTTTCGGGTTTAGGGTTTAGGGTTTTAGACCTCAAGTCTTTTGCATTGCGGTGTCCACAAAGATTCGGAGATTTCGACTCTTGCGAAAACCAGGAGTCCTGCAAGTGCGACTGGAGGGGTTCCCTTTTGGGTTGCTCTTCGGGTTCTACAAGAGTTCTATTCCCCGACCCTGACAGGGTCTAAAACATAGAACAGCGACAACAGCTATCCCACCCATTATATGGCTTGAGATATAAACCTTCTTTTACTCAACAGGGCTTACTGGGAGGTTCATGGGTAGTTATAAGTAGGGTTATAAGTCCCCTCATATAGGTTATAAGTATAGTTACCCTACTTATAACCCCACTTATAACTACCCATGAACCTCCAAGTAACCAACCCTTATGAAAGCCCAAAGCCCTCTGCCAAGCCGCAGTCCGAACATCTGCGGCACCTCCAGGGGGAATCGCTCTTCGATGTACTTGACGTAGTGCGAGTACTCAAGCTTGCTGGCATCCTTGGCGTGTTGGGGTCTAGGGCTCAGGGTTTTGGGGGATTAGAACCCAGGGCTTATAAGCAATTTCAACTGTTTTTGTGTTTCAGAGCTTTATAGGTCTTGGGTTTGAGGGTTTAGTGCTTATAGGGTCTAGGGCTGGATAGCGAATGAGGAATGCAACTGGACCTCTCAAACTCAACCCGCCAGGACCTACTTTTTGTAGGGTCCCTATGAATTCCATGTTACGGCTGTTACGGTTTATACTAAGAACCTACAAAAAAAGTGGGTTTGGTAACGCTTTCGGCCTTAGTGTTTCAGCCTTAGGGCCTTGGGGTTTCGGGCTTAAGGTTTCGGCGGTTTAGGGTTTAGGGTTTCGGCCTTAGGTTTTTGGTCTCAGGGATTCGGCCTCAGGGTTTCGGCCTCAGGGTTTTGGCCTCAGGCTTGCGGGCTTAAGTTTTTGGGACTCATAGTGCTTTTTGGAGTTAGGGTTTAAGGCTCCGGGGCTGAGAGAAAATGAATTGTATTTTCTTAATGTCATAGGATTCTTCGAGCGGGTGGTTTTTTTCTAAATCTAAACAGCTAGCTTGACTAGTGACTGCTCGATCCGGAGCTGCTGAACCCCTAACCCCACACTCTAAATCCTCAACCCTAGTTACACCCTAAAGCCTAAACTCTAAATCCCAAACCCTAGCTAACCCCCCACCCTAAACCCGCAATACCCCCTAATGTAAGGACCTTAATGATTAGAGTAGGGTTTCGGGGGTCCTTATTCGAACTATAGTGTGACATACCCCCAAACCCGGTTGAAATTCTGAAGGCTCCTACATTACACTCGCCAGGCCACTGGAGATTTGAAGCCGGGTGCCAGGTTTCCGCCGGCCAAGAGCTCTGGCGTGACCAGCACCGCCAGGTAGGTGTTGTTCACCTCTCAGGTTCTCTCTGTGGTCTTAGGGTTTTAGGTTTAGGGTTTAGGGTCTGTATGTGTGTATGTATGTATGCATACATACATGTACATAACAATGTATACTATATATAAATATATGTCTATCTATCTATGGATGTGTGTGTGTGTGTGTCTGTCTGCCTCTGTCTGTGTGTGTTGTGCTTCTTCTGATGAAGGCTCTGGCTTGAGGTTTCGAGGGAATTCATCTGCTCTACAGGTTTTATGGACCCATAAGGCTCCATGCTTGGCCCTCAACCGGAAACCACACCCAAAAAAAAACAAAAGGCCTTGCCGTCAAGGCAAACCGCTTCGAAAGCTTCGCCCTAGCCCGACAACTCCAGATCTTTAGGTTTAGCCTCTAGGCATGTGAACCCTACCCTCAAAGGACTCATATGTTAAGGCTTTTGGGCTCTTATACAAGGCTTTTGGGCTATTTTGATGCCAAGGGTAAGGGTTTAGGGTTTAAGGCTCTCAGCTCTACACGTCAAACCCTTATCCCAATATCAACTCCCAAACTAAATCCTTCCCAACTGCTCGAAGCCTAAACCATCCGAACCCTTCACCTAAACCTTATGATGTAGGGGCCTTGAACAATTAGAATAGGGTTTTGGGGTTCCTTATTAAATCCCATTATCGTATAATTTACCCCAAAACCCTATTCCAAATATTATTGCCCCTATATTAAACCCTAAACCCTAAACCCTAACCCAAATATAATGGTCCTTATATTAGACCCTCGGTAGATCCTCTAACCAACCCTCAACTCAGCGTCGGACACGTCGGTCCCACGGATCCTGGGCGCATGAAGCGCTTTTGGGGTTTAGGGCCGTGGCGCTGTAGGGTTTAGGGTTAGGGGTTTAGGCTTTATAGGGTTCAGGGTTTAGGGTTAGGGTTTAGGGTTTAGGGTTTAGGGTTTAGGGTTTAGGATTAGGGCTCAGGGTTTACCTGTAGCTCAGATAAGCCTTTTTTCAGCGATCCCAAAGAAATCTAAGTGAGGGTCCCTAATTGTGTAGGTTCCTTCTGCAGGTGGTTGAGAAGTTCGGGGCGTGGCTTTAAGCAATTTCAGAGCACACGGGTTAAGGGTTCAGGCGTTTAGGGGTTTAGGGGTCTAGGGGTTTAGGGGTTTAGGGGTTTAGGGGGATGGGGATAAGGGTTGGGGTTTGGCTTTGAGGCTAAAGGAACGTTTTCAGCGAGAGAGTCCCAGCCGCTTCTCCAAATCTGCAGATCAGTCTACACCTGTATGCCCAACGACGTCTTCAAAAGCGCCAACGATGCCGAGAGACAAGTGCTTCTGTAAGAGTGTACAGGCGGGCCGCCCCTCACTTTGGCTGAATGGTGTTCTTATCAGATCTATGTGAAAGGTACTCGTGCTCTGAATTAGACAGGCCCTAGTCTGCGGCAGGGCGCGAGGTTGCAGGCAATGCAGGCGCGCGCCTTTATAATCAGAATAGGGTTTGGCGGGATATTGTGGCATCACTGCACCCTATACTCCCTTACAACATACCAACCTTAACCTGGTACAACATACCAAACTGGTACAACACCTCAGGAACTAAGCCAAAATCACCTTCATGAGCCCTCAATCACAAACCACGCCTCTCCCTACATGTTCGGACAGGAGTCGGTGATGTGGCCGCCGTACATGATCTCGCCGAAAATGTATCGCAGGTCGGGCCACGGAACCTGCAAAAAGACTTGAATCAGAGGATTGCAGGGCGTTTAGGGTTTAGGGTTTAGGGTTTAGGGTTTAGGGCTGTCTTAAGGCAATATGGTGCCTCATTCATAGAGCTTTATAGGGCTCGTATATCTAGGTTCCCAGTAATAGTAAGAGTACCCTTTTTTCTACTATTCGGTTATAATGAGGGAACTCCAAAGAAAAAGGGCAAAAGGGTACCACTGGGGAACCTAGATATGGAAGAATAGCAGTGCCCACCGTCAGTTCTCCTACATTCATGCAGGCTGTTGGCTGTCGGGTTTGCTCGGGGCAACACCTCCTGTATCACTATCTAAACATGACTGTATAGATTATCATGATTTTTATTATTGTTCTTATATAATATATATATATATATAGAGTAACTCTTAGTACTTAGAACGTGAGGAGCCGTCCGACACACTGCACCAAACTATTTCTGGTGGCGGGGCGGGCGGTGGGGCTTTCCTTCAAGCAGCCGCGATATCCGGTACGCAATGGCAGCTGCATGTTTGCATCGCGATTTCGATGTGTGTACATATATATATATATATATAGTTATACCCACATACATACACACATGCACGGACACACACACACACATACATGAATGCATTCATGCATACATACATACGTACACTACCTACCTACCTACCTACCTACCTACCTGCCTACCTACCTACGTACATACATACATACAGACATACGTACATACATACATACAGACAGACAGACAGACAGACAGACAGACAGACCTGTATATATGTATAGTTATAGAAACATCTGCATACATTTGTATATGGATATAAAATACATGTGTATGTATATATATATATATGTGATGTGTATGTAGTTGTCTGCAGATGCATGTAAGCCTATATTACATACTCGATGACTGTATGGGTGGTGGCGCAGGTCATGCCGAACTGCTCCTCCTGGACGCAGTCCACCAGGCCAGGCCTGAACAAAGGCCGACAGGGTGATGGCGCATATGCCGAGGGAGTTGAAGAACTGCGCGCCGCCCTTCGCGACGGCACGCACCGTGCGCGAGTTGTTGGTGATCAGTGCCGCGAAGATCGCGACTCCCGTGAGCATGGCCCCCTGCTGGTTGGCAGGCACTTTCCCCCTGGATCACGCAGATTCATCCCGTCCTCACGTCGTGGCTGGTGCTCCCAGCCCCCGTGCTCCAGATGTTATAACCGCTGCAAAGGAAGACAACAAGCATGCTGAAGCTTTCGCCATCGCAATATGCATAATAACTAGCACAAGTTCAAAACCCCATAAACCCCAAACCCTAAAACCCTAAAGTCCTAAACCCTAAAACCCTAAACCCTGAACTCTAAACCCAAAAACCCTAAACCCTAAACATGTACCTTGGAGCCTGGAGCCTGCACTCTGAAACTTAAACGAGGCTCAGACCCGATCCCCAGGGAGCCGGAAACAAGTACTCCTTTCAATCGGTTTAAGGTTAGGGTTTAGGGTTTAGGGTTTAGGGTTTAGGGTTTAGGGTTTAGGGTTTAGGGTTTAGCGTTTAGGGTTTTGAAACCCCCTATACCCTGAAGGCTTACTACACAAGAAACATACTGATATAGAGGCCTATGACCAAGCTGAAACGGCCTCGGTTCCCAGGTTCTCTGCATTGTTCAGGTAGTTCCTCAGCACCTGTCCGCCTGAGATTTGGATCTGGTTGCGGGTTTAGGGTTGCTTGGAGGTTCATGTGTAGTTATAAATAAGTAACGTTATAAGTCCCCCATAATATGGGTTATAAGTTAAGTATAGTTGCCCTACTTACAACCCCACGTCTAACCACCCCCTAAACCCTAAACCCTAAACCCTATAGAACCCTTTAAAGGAGCCCTTAAAGGAACCCCCATAAACCCCACTTAGAACCACCCATGAACCTCCAAGTGGGGTTTCGGAACTCTGGGGTTTCGGCTGCGGCGCCTTGGGTTTTGGCGACCGGTTTCGGCTGTATCGATTTTGGGATACCTCGAAAAAATTCGAGGTCCTGGCCTTGAGTTCTGTGTATAGGTTTAGGGTTTAGGGT